TTTTCCATTTTGTTCTACTATACAATTTTCAAAATATTGTTTTGAAAACAGGAATTGTATATTCTATAAGGTTTCTAAAGTATATAGGCATAGCTCTATATATATTTATAAATGTTATTTCATCATATCTATCCATTAAAGTTAGAGATATAAGTGGGATAAAGTATTATCCAGTGTATAAATATGAGAAAATTAAATTCAAATAACTAAATTATATTATGAGACTTTCCTCAAAATATTATTTGATTATTTAAACTTACGAGAATTTCTAAATCTGATTAGAAATGAAATAATTTTGCTAAAATTTGAGTTAATATAACTGATTTGAAATAATTAATAACTTTGCATGTTCATTAATTGAAATTGAGTGTTAGAATTGGTAAATATTCTAAGTTATTAATGATAAAATAATTTTAAAAAATTACAGAAAATTGAAGTTTCCTACGAATTCGACAAGCAAAATTCTCATCCAATTCATCATTAATCATGTTTAGTTTATTCAATTTAACTGTTTCTCTTTATTTATCGGAAGAAAAATTATTTAAAAATTAGAATAGAGATATAATTAATTCACTTAGGAACCATAAACTAATATTAATATAAGCCGTGTTTCTAAATTCGTACGTATATGTCATAAATGCATTCATAATTATAATCAATTGCACGTATATAATCAATTGTTTAGCTTATGAATTCAATCATAAATAAACAATAAATTATTATTAAATTAAAATTAATTACTATTTCTTTTAATAGTATTGCTCAAGACTTTGCATAAAAATTCGAAAATCCCTTAGGTATCAATTTATTATTCTGAGAAATGAACTGCATTGAAAACAGAAAGTTCCAAGCGGAGTATCGGTTTATTATTATTATTATTTGTGAAAGAAGATGGATAACATTTCAAAGAAACTGCTATTTACAAAATTCTACGCTCTAGGTAAACAGAAAATATAAAAGTGTTGATAAAGTAAGAAAAAAAAAAAAACATGATGTTTACTCAAGTAAAATGGCAAAGAAGATAATATGATTTATACATTTACTCCGAACAGGATCTCTCAGTTTTCATACACAGTACGGATCAAGATACAAGAACAGAATGGATATAACTACTTATAGATGAAACAACTAACTTGCTTTTTTATATTAAAAATGAAAAGTATGAAAGTATGGAACTTATTTTATAACTAAAAGATTCTTTTATCCCAGTGTGGAGATGGAGGAGGATGTTATGAAGATAGCAAGAAGCATAGCTTGAAAAACAAAAATCACTTTCAAGATTACAGAAGATGAAAGTTGATTAATTTCAGGCATTTTAATGTATGATTAATGATAAAAAAAAGAGTAGAAAATTTCGGCAAACTTAATTTTATTACAAACTAATTAGATTAAGTAACATTAAATTTAGGAAAAAGTAATTTATGATGAAAATATTTTGACCTATTTCTTCAATTTAATTTGACTTCGGGAATATACTTTATCATCAAAGTGTATGCAATGACATTAAATTATAGCATTAATCCTATTATTACTGTAATCAGTCACACTCGGTTCCTCTCAATCTCGAATTGATTACTCTACTGGATTTTGACTATTTGGATTGTGACCTCTTGGGATTTTGGCCATTCACATGTAAATTAAACATAGATTTTAAATGGATTTTCTCACGAATAAGAAAATTGAACATTAAAAGTTAAACTTGTTAAGATATGTTAAAGATTTTTCTAACTTTAAGCAATCGTTAATGCACTTTTTACACTTCATATCCTATACAAGCTATGATTGNAGGTAAATAAATAATAAACATCATAATTTAATCTGAAAACGTCATAAAAGTAATTACATAATTGATGTGTATATATACCTAACATATACACAATCCAACCTTTATTAACAGTCTTCTATATACAGCATCCATTTTCCTAGGAACTACTATTATATGTATAGGCCTATATATAAACAAAAATGCATAAAAAATAACCGTCAAACAACGGTCATTTTAAACAATATTTCCTGTCAGTGACCGTTGTACAGAGGTTCGACTGTAGGCAGAAAAAAGAAGAGGAGGAAAAAAATAATGAAAATCGCTTTAAATAATGATAAACACAAACACTCAATTCTAATTCCATTAAGAATTTTAAATCTTCAGAAAATTAGACAAGTTTAATTAAAAATAAACATTTATCTTAACTTTTAGAAGTTTCTTTTATAAATAAAACTCGACGTAACAACTTTACTCCTGTTTAAAATAATAACTTTCTAAAAGGATTTTAGTATCATAATATTATGATAAAAGTTAAAACTTTATTATTTCTTCTTTTTATTATTATTATTATTTAAGTTTCATAAATTAAGTATCAAAAATCTATTTAAAATTTGTTAAATGGATGATTTTGATAAATTTCTTCCTTTATTTATGTACATCATTTATCATGTAGTAGAACATCATAGAAATAATGACATCAGTGTAAAGCTATCATCACAAAGGCAGAATAATATATTACTGTCTGACGTCAGATCTTTTGCTGTCAATTTAAATTAAATTTCCTATATTCATTTTATTCAAAAATTGAATAAATTGTGCTTTACAGAAGATTATTTTTGTTATCTTTAACAATTGTCTCTATAGTTACAAGAGGTTATATATGCATTGTTATAAGAGAAGATTTATTAAAGCCTGTGTTATTATACGAATACAATAGGAATTATTATAGCAATTCATACATGATTCCGTATTATCGATTGTGTTAACGAAACAATGAGTTAACTGTGCAAAATTTGTAAACAGTATTCGATAATGAGATAATTGTAATATAATAATATACAAGTTGTCTATATTATATCAACCGAATAAGATTAAATTCGATTTTCTGTCTTCTTATTCTCTATGTTTATATGTTATATACACGTATAAATGTATAAATATATAAGTTAAATAACTAAAATTTTTAAAAAATACTTTATAAATTTCTACCTTAATTAATCACTAAGTTGAGCTTATATAGAAGTGTATTAAAATATTCACTTTTAAAATATTAATATTAAAATCAAGTGAAAGAAAAATTAAATTAAAAGTTGATAATTTCATACTTTAAAATTTTTAATAATTAAACTTTAATGTAGATTTTTATAATATAATTTTAATAAATTTTTTTTCTTTTTCAATTTTTTTTTTTTCAGATATAAACATAAACAGAAATACTAATTTTAATAAAAGTACTAATTATTTATTAATGTCGACGAATGGAGAAAGGGGTAGTAGTGTATCATTTNTAATCTAAAAGTAGATCAATTTAAATTCTGTTGAATATATTTTTTTTCTCTTTTAAACTGGAAAAAAATTGGAAAAAGTTTACATGAAATAATTTAAAGAAATTAAAATAAAATTTTAAATTTTCAACATTTTTTTTACTATTTTCTAGCGAAGAATTATTGATTTTTTATCAATATAAACCGATTTGTATAAATTTAAACTAAAAAAAAGCAGAAAAATTTTATTTCTAACTTTTTATTTTATGGAAAAAAACATATTAAATTTAATAAAAAAATTTCTGATAAATGTACAGTTTATAAATCGAAGTAACTATTATATATATATATATCATGTTAAAATTGTAAGTTATAATATTTTCTTTTGTTTTTTCGCAAATTTTTGAGAGTTAAAGCGATTTTGTGTTTATAAATTTAAAAAAAATCTTATCTTATCTATCATAATTTCAAAAAATTCGATAAATATTATATAATATAAAGTCTTCATTTTTCTTTTATCTAACTTTTTCTTAAAAATTATATATAGAAAATATAATAAATATCGAATAAAAATGACCACGCAACATAAAAATATGGGTCAATATGTATGGAAATATCGATTGACCATCAGCAACGTATTGTTTGAATCAGTTTAAAAAAAAAATAAGAAAGGAAAAATTACTCACCATATTTCAAAAAAACATTTTTTCGTCAAAGACACGTCAATGTTTTTCTATGATAAGTTGTGCTACTGACAGTTTCCATAAAACTTTTATACCAAGAAAAAAATTTCAAAATACCAACTATATTGAAAAGGATTTAGTAAATATTATATAATAGGATATGGCTATATTGTTATACGAAATTTTATATTTATACAAAAAATAAAAATAATAATAATATTAATAATAAGAGAAAAATTATTCATTAAAATTTAAATCTAAATGTAGTTGTAGTTATAAAGTTTCGTATAAATATTTAACAGCTAAAAATCCTAATTTATATGCTTATAAGTTATTCTATATAACTATCACGAATTAATTTAATTACAAATATTTATTACACGGTGCATCTCACAGCACTGATTTATTACACATTTCCAATGTCATTAAGGGTAAACAATGTCAGCAACAGTACACCTTTGTTTAAAGCTATATTTTATCTCCTTTTCAAAACTTAGAAATCATTTTATGTAGCGAGATAATTACTACTTTATTTCATAATTATGCACTACTAATGATCAATGTCCAAGTGTGGTATAACTTTTCCAGTAATGCAAATTTCCAGCGACAAGAGAGAACACCGAAGTCATTAATTTGTCAACATCGTCCTTAGAGTATCACATACAGGTATTAAGCCAAACAAGAGCCATGCTACAACATTGTTCAACGTTGAATATTTCGCGGGAAAAATAACATGGTACTGATATAGATTGATTAAATTGTAAATTGTTGTACAAATGCCCCTTTACCAACAGTTATTACATAACTAATAAATAACAACTAGCTCGAGGCAACACGATGCAGTTTATTACCTTTATTATAACCTTGAAATTATTGATGCAGAAATATCGGTTTACTTATATACTGTATCAAATTTATGTAATTAATCCCCTCACATTCAACTGTTTCAATTGTTGCTAGATATTTAGGTAATGCCTCTAGTCATTTGTTGAAGTTTCTAGTTAGATTAATGATGAAACTGTTTCATTTATTGTACAATATTTCCCAAAGGAGTTTGTTATTGGTTTACTATTTCCCTTTTGTAATTTCGGTAGTAAGATCGTATAAGATTGAATTAATATGCTCTTCCTAAAAGTATAATTAGTGATAAATCAATTCTAGAAGCAATTTTATGTTTGTCTGTTTGTAATTTTTCTTTTAACTAAAACCAATATCAATCTTAGTCGAATGTAAAATTCTTATACAAGAAATGATTTAATTAAATAAAGATTTTAATTTTATACACAGCAACGGTTTAATTTATTTTTCTATTATTTTCTTATAGGGCAATATGTATATAACTAATGGAAAATTCCTAATTGTTATATTTACTTAAAACTTAAACTTTGTTAACTGAACAGTTATTAATTTCCTCAGAGTTACTTGATTGTGATAGTGTTTAATTATTGAGCAAATTGGATTCAACTAATCATTCACTCATTATATCAAATTTACTTATTATACTAAATGATCTAAAATTCGCTTAAATTTCTCAAAAATAAAAAGAATTTTCATTTTCTCAGCAACAAAAACTGTTCGATAATAGAGGGAATAAGACAAATATTCCATTTAAAGTATTATAACTTCTAATATCTGTCTTCGAAATAAACAATGAGTACATTAAATATATAAATTTTGTAGCAGTGCAAGAAATATAGTCCCATATTTGCTCAAAAATAAATTTAATATAGTTCTAAAGCATTATAAAAATTTATTCTGTTTACTTTAAAGCTATGAAATAATTGTTTTTCAATACAATATTTATAACGGAAAAAGACTATAAAGAAAATTTTCCTTAAAACAATATTTATATTTCACCTTAAAAGAATGAGGCTTCTGAAACTGTTGAACATCAATATCATTTGCTAATGTATCTCGAGAAGGAGACACATTTATCTGTAAAAATACAAACTGCACATAATATTGTCACATCAGCTCTTATTAAGAGAATCGTAAATAAAAATTAATAATAAAAGTTTTTCTTTTAAATTCTTAAAGTTATCATTTTTCCAGTTTAAAACACTTAATTTATAATTTTTGACCAATATCTTTTAAAGCTTTAATAAGTTATCTTAAAGTAGATGTTCTAAAGATTGAATGTTCTTCCAAACATCAGATTTAAATTACATCTACGATTAATGTATTTTAAATCTGAAACAAAAAACATTCCAGTTGACTTATTTTAACATGTATATCTAATTTTTAGCGTAACTAGAAACTATAAATTCATAAAGAACAAATAACTAAATATCACATTGATAACACAATAAAAACATTTAGAAAATAGGCTAAATGTTTAAGTAAGAGAATCAAAGATAAAGATATTTTAAAAACATTAAATAAAAAAAATTATTATATATATATTACAACCTATTATTTAGTTTCAATGAAAAATAAATAATTATGTGCAAAAACTTTTATTATTAGCTTTTATCATTATCATACTAAATTTACCTCTGAAGTAGCTTTCTCACAACTATCAGATGAATCAATATGATTAGAATCCGATTTACCAAGACTGCGATCTTTATGACTATTAAGACTTTGACGATGTTTATTTTTTTTTAATCTTCTTCTCTTATATGAATTAAGAGTCATATAGGGGCTATCCTCATATCTGGATTCAACACACATCATTGCAATATATTCTCCAGCATGTGCTTCAAGATATAAAGTGATTAGACCATCTGCTACTAAATCTTGTATTGTATCAAATCTTTTCTCTCCAACGTAATGTTTACCATCATAATATAATCGAAAATTTTTGGTAATTCCTCCAAATCTAATTAAAACAAAACAAATAAATAAATATTTGAAAATTTTGGAAAATAAATATATATATAATCAAAATTTTACAAATAAAACTTCTTATAATTAATTACACTGGCCATCAAAAGTTAAGCACAATTCACAAAAATGACAATATTTTCAAAACCACTTAAAACAAATTTATAAAACTTTCATACATACTTCAGGTATACACTGTATACATTTGAGAAAAAATAAAAAATGAATGCAAATAACAATAAATGTGAATACAAAAAAAAAGAGGTATGAATATAAATGTTGAGCTCAATATGGAATGTGACCTCATCTAGCATTAATGCAAGGTTGCTTTATCTTGCACTTTAGTAATGTGTTACAACAGTGCCTAAAATGAGACACTAATGGTCTACCAAAGAATCCTTAGGAGATGCATTCATCAAAAAATACCTGTCTAGAAACTGAACATCATTTTATGAAGAATGTACTTTGCAAACCCAGTGATGCATCCAAAACATACTACATTGATGATGCACTGAACTTCCTATAATTAATGCATAAGTGAGGACCAGATGAAGATCTAGGTAGTGTAACTGGCAACATGACTGCATAATAAGCAGGAGTTGTGGGTTCAAGTCCTGCTTTGGCTGATTCTTTTCTTCCAGAACATTCTACATTAATTATTAAAATATTAATTTAATTATTAAATTTAGCAAGAGATGGCACCTAACACCTACATCAAGTGCCAAATTACTTAGCATTTAATTAATAATAATAACTAAAATGTCTTAGGATTTGTAGGCTTTAAGATTTTTAAAAACAATGAATTAAGAATTGTTCTGATTATTATTTCATGATAACAGTACAGAGATTTGCGTCATAGAATCATTCGTCTTACTTTTTTTTAGTCCGAGCATGAACTCTGAGAGTTTTCTCAATTTAAAGTAATATAGCGTAAAATGAAGGTGCCATTAGGGTAAGTTCCACCAGAAGCAAGCAGAAGCACTGATGCAGAGTAAAAAGTAAGGATGCACGATAAGCAAAATGGCCTATTACCGATTAATCGGCCATGCATTATCGGCCGATTAATCGGTATCATTAATAATTTATTGCATTAATAGTGTGAGATCCTGGAGTTAATTATAATGTGGAAAAAACCCATTTTTCTCCACCTGGTATTTCCATCTCCCTTGGGTCAGGTAAACAATAGACGATCGAATATCCTCGCAAAATCAACAATCTCTTCCTTTGTTTCTAAAATAAATCTCAACACTTAATTGTTGACGCATGGAAACTTCGACATTGTTTAAAAAGCTGAAGTGTTTCTGTGTTTAACAGAAACAAAATATATTTCTTTAACAGCTGATATTTGGACAGCAACTACAAACAATTCTCCTTTTTTAAGTGTAACAGCTCACTGGTTGAAGGATGATTTTCAGCAGGAAAGAGCTGTTTGCAAATTGTTTCCTTTGAAGGTTCCCACACAGCTACACGAATCAGTGAACAGTTAAAAATTGTTCTTGAACAGTATAAGTTGACAAGTGAGAAGATATTCTTAGTACTAAGAGATTCTGCAGCAATTCTGGTAGCTGGAATTAGGAATTGCAACTTAGAAGCATTATCATACGCTGCAGCTGACACTAAACGAATGCATATTTTCTAAACAATATGTGAAAACTATAATCACAGCTAATAGAAATATTGTCACACATTTTAATCATTCTGCTGTAGCTGTAATCAAATTAGAAGATTTGCAAGAAAAGTTAGGTTTGCAGAAACACAAATTAATTCAAGATGTTTCTACTCGCTGGAATTCTACATACTACATGTTGGAACAGCAAAGGCCCTTGTCACATATACTAAAGATAATAAAATTCCTACGTTGAGCCCATATCAGTAGTCTCTCGTTGAAAAAATTATTCTACTTGTAAAACCATTCAAAGAAATTACTGTGGAAAGCCAGCAAACGAGAAGCCATTTCATCTTCAATAATTCCCACAATAGAGACTCTGAAATTATTCTTATCAAAAGAAAAGATCAGTAGTTCCTTTAGTGGCATTAATACCACAACAGACGAACTAGAAAATCCAATAAAAAAAAGATTTTCAGCATATATAGAAAACAAGTCTTTATGCTTGTCATTTTTATTAGATTCAAAATGAAATTTCAAAAAGAGAATATGCTAGAGGAAATCCCAATAAGAATTAAATTCTGAAGCTTCTACTTCTGGAGGTGATCAAGATGGAGGTGCATTTCTAAGTTTTTCTGATTTATTTGATGAATTAGCTTCTGGTAAACGAAAGAATGAAGAATAGCATGTTTTTTAAAAAGAAAGAAAAAAACGAAGGAGACGAACAAACGTTTCGATCAAGAATTAGAAACATATTTACATTTGTCCCTAATGTGATGAAAATAGTTATGAAATATTTAAGTACCTCAGCATCTTCCATTGAAAGTGAAAAAAATTTCAGCACTGGAGGTAACATTTATGAGCTGGCAAAAAATAGGTTATGCCCTGAAAACACTTAAATTACAATTTAAGGGTTTTACAATGTAAATGTACATCCTTGAATTATAATTTAAGGGTTTTACAGTTTAAATATTAAATTTTTATTTGTTTTATATGTTTAAATTTTAAACTTATGAAACAAATAAAAATTTAATTTTTCTTCTTAACCTATTCAATACTTTTTTTTATGTAAAGTTTAAACTTTATATTATACGTTATACTATACTTATAATATGTATCGATAAAAAGGAATAATTTGATTAGTATAATTTTTTTAGTATTCAGATTGTCATGTAATAAATAATAAATATATAACAGAAATTTATTAGTTTTTATCACTAGCATTGTACTGTATGTAACATTCTAACAAAAATACCAAAATGTAAAATTGGCCGATTATCGAAACCGATTAATCGGGGGAATTGGCCGATACGGCCGATTACCAATTACTTACCGATTAATCGGTGCATCCTTAGTAAAAAGATTTAAACAAAAGTTATTTTTTCCTGAAAGTTTGAGCCAAAAACATGGGTGCACATTATACACAGCAAAATATGGTATTTGATAAAAACTGCCATGATAAATAAGTATTAGTTACAAAATTGAAGAAATATTTTTAAAAATAGACAATACAAAAAGTGTCTTCTAACTTTGTTGACTCCAGCATTCCATGGTGGAGTTGACCTTTCATTTGTGACTATTTGTCCACTTCAATATGCAAAACATTAAAAACATCCCTACGGTATAGTTATGTCAATGATTTAAATAAAAACTATAGTGCAAAAAAAACATATGAAAGAAAAATTATTTTATGCACAATTAAACTACCAAAAGTGGACAGAAATTTAATGTAAATATTTCAATATTTTTCTAAAAACAATCACTCCACACTTTTAAAATAGTGATAAATACTAAAAACAAATTTAAAGTTTGAAGACATAACACAAATAGTTTAAGTATTTGTTATGTCAATTTCATCTAGATTATCAGTACAGACTAGCTTGAGCATTAATATGGCAGATACATTAGGAACATTGATGCCCTGACTTTATTTATGTTTATAGATTTTGGAATTGCCAATTGAAAAATTAATTTAACAAAAGTCCTTATTCAGATTTTGATAACAGAAGTATTTAACAATATATTGACATCTAAAAAAAAAAAAATATGCTTTTTACACTTTATTCTAAGCAAAATTTCATTTTATGATGCATTTTGAAAAGTAAAAGAAAAAACATGCTTATGACTGCAATATTTTGTTTCAAGTTCTTGAAGACAATGATTATTTTTTATACAATTCATTGATACAACTCAAATAAAAATAAAAAAGAATACAAAGATCTGTGTTATAGTAATTTAATCATTACAAAATTACATTTTAAAGTAGGAGTTGGTATTCTAGAAATTTAATAAGTAAAATAAATATCATCACTCTGAAATTAGCTATTAAATATCATCATAGTCTTTATTTCGAAGTTATATATAGATGTAATCATCAGCTTAAAATTATCTATCACATACTATAAATAATCACTACACTATGATTGAAGGTATATTTATTTAAGTTCACAGTATATAGTTGTTGACATACATTCAATTTTTTTTATATATAAGTTATAAAAAACTGTTATTGCTAATATTTATTTTTATGAAATATTTTATTAAAATAAAACAAAACAATACATTTTTACATAATTAATAACTTAAATAATAGTATGATAGTGATACGATAAAATACATAAATAAATTAGATTTAAATATTTATATTAAAAATAAATATAAAATTCACAAAAAAAGCATCATAATGATTTTAAAAATGAACAAAAAAGCATCCATGACAACATTATTATTTATAATTAAATAAAACTCTATTACAATTAATGTAATTGTTATCTATTGATAAATTTTAAAAAATACATTGAAGCAAACCACATTATTCATAATAAATTACTTATCTTCAGCAAATAATATTTAAAAAAACAATGGTAACATATTTAAATTACAGTGATTTTATTGAATAATAAAATATCAGCATTTCTTTGCCTAATAAATTTAGCTATTATTCATATTAACTGACTTAAGAAAAACTATCAAAGTTAAATTACATCATTTTCTTACACTAAGCTGTTATATTTATTATAATAATAAATACAAAATATGAAAAATTTAATATTAGACAAACTATTTTTTTTAATTTAATTTTTTTTATATTTTGAATGTTTTGTGAATTAATACACAAAATAGCTATAAGATAAATTTCAAAATAATTCTTAAAAAAATAACTTTACCTCATGCTAAGTGTATATTGGCCATTTGCCCTCTGACTTTCTCTGACAAGATAACATCCATCTCCTTCTTGGAGTAGTCTGTCAGCTTCTTCACGAGATATTTTTCCATGAAACCTAAAATTAGTAATTAATGAATGTAGTATCAAAACAGCTTTTATTAAGGTATCTGAAGGTCAACTTACTCTCTACCATAGTGAGAAGGTCTGCTTCGTATCTAAACAAAATAAAAAGCAAAAAATTACATAAAATTAAATAAAATGACAAAATCTTATTCAACTTATCTTCTGCTTTCAAAGTGATTGTGTACAATACTACATGTGAAATGAGGAAACCATTTAGCAGAAACATATACTCTTCCTTTGTCTGCAACTATTTTAACAAGGTATAATGAGTGAGCAATTGACTGCTACAATAAGTGAGATTGGTTGTCAAATTCAAGAAAGTATAGTTGATTAATCAAAAGAAATAAGTTCATAATATAGATAACTGCATTTAAACAAAAAAAAAATCCATTTTTAAAAAACTTTAAAACTAGAATTGTCTTAGCCAAGATTTGAATTATATGATTACTTTTGGGAAACATAAAATAAAAATTATTTCAAAATTAATAAATTCATTCTCTTCATTTATTAATTTTTTGAGTTTTTTCTTCACAATTGTATTTTTGTTCAGTTTTAATATTTCTTATTTTATTATAGATTTTGTTAATAAATTTATTTTAAAATAAATATTAAAATAATTAACTTAAACTTCTTAAAACCATGACAAAACCATAATGTTAACTTTAAAAAAAGTCACTTACTTCATAATTACAAACAATACGTTTAGGTATCGGTGCAGCCTGTTGAAGTTGATATACTAAAATAAAACAATTTATATAAAGTACAAAAAAATAATTACTGCTATCTATCTAATCATTAAAAGAATATATTAATATAACTATTTAAATTACTAAATTCTGAATAAAAATTATTAAAAATAATAAAATTTAAATATGACAAATTATCAAAGATTGGTATGTTTTAACTTAAAAGTTTATAATTAGGAAATTCCTATTAATATGCTTATTATTTATTTAATGTGTTTACTTTAACAAACTACTTTCAGGGTCAGAACAACATTAATTTTTATAGTTGGTATAGTTTAATTATGATTGATTTAAAATATTAACCATAATCTATTTTTTTTAACATAAAGAGTAATAAAATTTCAAATAAGAATATACTCAATACATTCTATTCTATATATTCAATACTATTCAATTTGGTTAAATTGAAAATAAATGTTAATGGCATTAATTAATAATGTGTTTCTTTAACAACTAAATTAGAAAAAACTTTTATAGAAAACTAAATTTTTTTTATATGAAAGAGAGAGAAGGAAAATCCTACAAAAGTAATAACCTTAAAAAGTTAAGTCAACATTTTTAATTTTCAACGTTAAACCAGCTAACTTTTTTAAAAATCTTAATAAGAAAGTACTACATGAAATGTATTAAAATAAAAAACAAAAGTTACATAGTAAAATATACAAAAAAATAAGATAATTAATTAAATAAATTGTATTTGTTTGAGATTTATTTCTTGAATCTGCTTCAATTTGATGTTCAAATTTAAAAAAAAGAAAGACATTATTTTTCATTATTTTTTTAAAATTAATGTTTAGAAAAATCTTTTCTTCTGTATCAATTTTAACTTGAAAAAAACTTACAATAAGACTTCCAAAGAAAGGGAATCTTGCTTGTAGGTCTACTCCTCCAATTATCTTCTGAAATTAAAAAATTTTCATCAAAAACTTTAATACAAATATATTCACTAATCATCATATTTTATTAACAAAATTTATTCTTAATATTGATATAAACAACAATAACATCCTAATAGCTTCTATATTATTTAAATTATAATACTGTATATATATTAGTAAAATGAATGATTATAATAGACATATAACAACATTAGGGCATAATTCTGCTCATCTTCATCAATCTAACCTTATCATTTCAAGTTGCTTAGCAATGCTCTCCACACTTGTGTTCCAATTTGTAATAATTGTTTATATAAAAAATATTAGTTTTATATACCAGTATATTGACTAAATAATTATAGTCAAACCTCAGATTTTGAATGCCCCACTTTTTGAACAATTCAGTTCATGACCAAAGACTAGACACAGATGGACAACTCCTTATACTTCATGTGTTAAAGAAAGTTGACGTTCCGACCAATCAACAACAGGACTACTATTCATAAGTTAGTGGCATTGAGATTGATGATTTGTGTCACCAAGATGTCACAACACAAATCATCGATGGCATTGTTATTTAAATTAGATTTCAATGTGCATACAGGAAAGATACTATTTCCATTTTTCAGTATGCACCACAGTTGAATCTAAATGAAATTAATAAAAACTACATTAATTGACATTCACGTAATATAAAATGGCATCCAAGAATTCATGTTTAAATATACGGTAGAACCCCTCTAGTCCGCCCTTGGCTAGTCCGTCACTCTGGTTAATCCGATCATGGTCGGAGTCGAGAAACTTGTCCCAACTCGTCAGTGACTTACCGTCCATGGCGTTCTTCTGTGTTCGTTACAGTATATGTTTTTACATTGTGTGTACAGTACGTGTACAGTTTTGTGTGTGTTTTCAACATGTCAGGAGTAAAACGTAAACACGTTACTCTTTCATTAAATGAAAAATTAGCAGTGCTACAAAGACTGGACAAAGGGAAGATTGTTTATTTTACTTTTTTCTGATAATCTGACCTTTTTTGCGTTCCGACCATACCCCCAGTCCCAAAGGTGACGGATTAGAGGGGTTCTACTGTATTT